TATTATTTATTTCACTATGTATTTATATATATTTTTGGGATTATTCATCTGTAAAATGAATTAATAGAATAAAATAATTTTTAAAAATACAAATTAAAAATACCAAATGTAAGAAATTCAATTAAAAAATGTAAAAAATTAAACAATTTCACTTTAACATTTGAACATTACAAAATATATAAATAAAAATATTTTTTTATGTTTGTGAAGGAAACAATAAAATACATAGAAAAGTGTGTTTGTTTGTACCTTAGACAGCAGGTTGACAAACGGCTGCAGGAAGCGAACGCCTAAATCCTGCAAATCCTCGGGGGGTTTCACCTTCTGGGGGTTGGCAAAGAACACGTACTTCTACGGGGAGAGAAAAGGACAAAATTAATCAACCAAAATTGACAGAAAACGAATTAATAAATTGCATACAAATATTATATTGATGGCAAATGCACATGGTGACCAAATCATAAAAAATAAATGCAAGAAAAAAAAAGTTATTTATTGGGGGAAATTGTTAATTACAATTTGTTTTTTTGTTTAAAAAGTGGCGTTAGATGCCTCCTCACCCTGACTCTGATGACGTTGATCTCCACGGCCATCAGCAGCCCGTACAGCAGCACCAACAGCGCCGTGATGCAGAACCTCAGGTGCTGAGGGCCCACCTCGTGCGCTGCAAACTTCCACAGCTTGATGGACTTGGTGATGAACGCCAACACCCAGTAGATGAAGAGGACTGAGCAACAGGAGACAGGAGAGGGATGTGGTGTCTTATTAATGCACGGGTACATAACGGCTCTTAAAATGTATATATATGAAGACTAGAAAATACTTCCTGAATATTCCTTGTGTCATTGTCCCTGATTTCTACACATCAACGCGTGTTTCCAGGTGCATTTGTGAAAAACTAGTCTGATAAATGTCTTCAAGAGATGTCACTTGAGTCAGGTGTGGAGTAAGAAAAGAAACTACCAGACCTCAGTAGCTCCAGAGTTGCATTGTGGGTAATGTCAGTGCCAGGTTTTAATAAGGAAATAGATTGGGTTTGAACATTTTGATTTCTTAGATTTTTACCCTTTTTCGGATCCAATAATGTAATGTTAACACAATATGAAATCTGTTGAGTCCTCTTTTAAAAGCTTGAAATTATGTACTGGATTATTAAAAGGTAAAAGCAACAAAAAGACGAGGTTTTAGCGTGTAACCGAGCAGCAGCTGTTTGGGAAAGTTGGACGTTTTCTTGTCTTAAAATGTACATTAAGATATATATGAGCAATGAAAAGGCTGACCATTTTTTTATTTGTATCTTTTTTTGGATCCAACAATGTTATGTAAGTGCAATAATGAACGAGTTGAGTCCTCTTTTAAAAGCTGGAAAGGATGTACTAGTTTAATAAAAGGTTAAAGCTAAAAAAGACGAGGTTTAATGAGTGTTACCGAGCAGCAGTTTGGGGAAGTTGGACGTCTCGATGTTGTGATAGTAAACGACTGATGTTGTCGCGGCGATGAAACCCATGAAGGCCGGCAAGAAGAGATGAAGGTGGGTGGTGGTCAGCATCGTCCTACAGCAAGAGGGGAATATAAGAACTATTAACATGTGGATATTAAAAGGCTCATTCGGGCGAAAAAGGAAGAAAAAAGTAGTCAACTTTATTGTTAATCTTTAGTTTGTGTGTACAGACGGAGAGATCGAAATACCCACAATCCCGAATACAAAACAAATATATATACAGTATATGCAAATATGTATATATATATATATACTAGGGATGGGAATGATTAATCGAATATTGAAAATGATTCAGGTATTCAAATATGAATTGTTTTTTATGGGAAGTTGATTACATATTATCAAAAGGATTAATTAAATGTATACGACAGAACCATTTAAATATCTTAAGAAAAGTCTAAAGGAAAACATGGATTGGTTTCTATATTTCTTTGAAAATGTATTTGTTATTAAAACTTTTTTTGAATATAAATTTGCTTTCAAATTCCCATCCCTAATATACAGTATACAAAATCAAAAGACACATTTATACATATACATATTAAAGGGGACCTATCATGCAAAATGCACTTTTCTACATCAATGTGTCCCCGGTGTGTCGGGGAACTCACGCAGCGTCAGAAAATAAAACCCTCTCTCTTTTCCTCTGTACCCAAATCTCTAAAAACGGGGGAACAACGGAGCTGATCCAGATTTGCGTCCGATATGACGTAATATCTGAAATGTGGACCCACGGCCCTATCACAAACTTTGCTATCAGAAACAATGCCCGACTGTTTTGGACGTAATATGGTCGGTGTTTACATTAGCATCGCTAACACTCAGAGCTAACCTGTACTGGAGAGCATGTGTGTGAAGAAGCAGGAAGTAGAAAGGAACTCACCTTGTGGTATAACCGGCAAGAGAGAAAGCCTTTGAGCTCCATACTGTTTCAGAAACAATCCTTGATCTAATCATCCTTGCGTTTCATCACCATTTTAGACCGAGGCCGTTTCTCAATGTCGAGTGAACCTGCTGCAGAGCCACTATTTCAAGTATACTACGTCATCGGGTGGCGCCGAAGGACTGTTTAAATGCCCAGCATTCGGCGCCACTCAATAACGTAGTAT